CTGGGTTTCAGTCATTTATTGTCTCTATTTATCAATTAAAATACGTTTCGGTGTTTTCCACCATCATCAGTTTTTATGTGTAGCGTTGTTGCTACACAGTTACAAGCTTAAAGTAGCAACAACGCTACACATAAAAACTGATGATAGTGGAAAACACCGAAACGTATTTTAATTGATAAATAGAGACAATAAATGACTGAAGCCCAGGAATTAATTTTTACTTATTCCTAATCTAATAAAAGGTGAAACATTTTACACTCAATAATTAATAAATTGAAGCTAAGTCTTCGACATTCACATTGACAGGAAGAAATAGAAAATTTGTTTTTTTGAGTTTCTCAAAACAAAGCAATTACCAACAAAAACATTCTGCATGTATCGATCGACCTTTATTTCCACCCTAGAGAGAGTTTTGTTTTTTGCCAAATAATCGGCTTTTATTTAACAAGGGGGAGCGACACACTTTCTAAATTTGTGGTTTTTTCTTCATTATTTAGTATTGTTTGATGTGAGTTTCTTTTTCGTTTTAAAACCCAATAAATTGTCAAATTTCATCACTCTCTTCAAATACGTCTTTAATTCATGAATATTTTAACTAGTTTAAAGCCTATTTTAGCTAGTTTAAAACCATTTTTTTCGAAAAGCCATTTAAAAATAGTATAACATTTAGACAAAATCATAATATATTTATTCGTATCTGTGGACTATATTTTCATCTCCGCATCTCGTCTGCGGGAGACTGCTTGATTTGACGAGCAGTTTTTGGATCTTTTGGTTTATTTTATTATTTTCGCAACTATTCAATAATATATCTTCCATTGGGTGTCAATTTAAAAAAAATAGTTTTTTTATTTCTAATAAACGTTCAAACCACTTTGCTAAGGATCCTCCGCATTTCGGAACATTTCGCTAAAATACAATTTAAACAGCGCGAAATCTGATTCGAACTTAAAATACAATTTAAAAAGCAATAAATATAAATCACGAACATTTTACCACTTTATCGAGACTTTGTATTAACACCTGTAAAGAAGAAGAAAGCGGCATTTTATTTGAAACACTCCGTATATGTGAATATACAATTTGGCAAAGTGGAAGCAAAAGTGGTCTTTATTTCCGCCCACACCAATGTTTTTAAGTAGTCCGCCTGTTTTTGAAAAATATTCTAAAAATGCTCAGCTTTGAAAACAAAGTGAATCGCTCGGACGCCCCCACAACCCCTGGGGCCCATCAATATTGAATGCACCGCCACTCGACTTTTCATTCCGCCGCCTTTCTTCCGTACGGATGCCGCCTCCGCTTGCAAGGTGTCTCAAGGGCGGCGAAAATTGCGATTTAATATTGATGGTCCATTACGCCAGTTCAAGTAAATTCGCAATTCTGATATCGAAAAGTTCAGATACATATATTTAAATTCATAAGTTTGACGCCTTCAAAAATGGATTATTGCCGTAAACTTCCACATCAACTTTTGCTCGAAGAGGTGATTTGATTTGGATTCCTCAACACATAACTGCATCTATTTGTATGGAGATGCTGTTCAATTATATGCGAGGAAAGAAAACTTAGATTTCCGCCGCCTCGAGTGTAAAAAGGTACGTACAACTTTAGATTAGATTTTTGATGTGCAATACAACTGAAAGTTTGCTATCTTTCCAAAAGTTTTTCGATTCTGGACTGAAGGTAATTCTCCGATTGTATCAAATTAGGCGAAAAATACGACTAAAAGGGGCAGTTTCAATGCTTCCCAAAATTAATTAGTGCTATTTAGCTTATACACGGTTATTGAAAATAGTAAACATGAGACAAGTGGAAATAAAAAGCAAATAATGTTGTTTATTAGCTAGATGTGCATCTACAAACGATGCTATCCTGAGCAACATTAAGAAAATACATGTTACTTTCAAGCTCTATAAACCAAGTTCATAAGGCACCTTTTAAAAAAGATAATTTCTGATCATTTTACTGATGGAATATGTTGTCACACACAATTTGTCAAATACAGAACTCACTAAAATTGGGTTTTTGTCAATTGAATTTCCAAAGCAATTATATTACTATCTGAATTCCGAAAATCTACACGTATTGTGTCCATATTTATCCATAATTTCTTAGAGAAGTTAATTCGTTTCGTGTGATAGTCCTGCACACTGACCTGTTTGTGCCTTTCAAACAAATCTTACAATACACAATTAAGCGCCTCAAACTATTTAAAAATGAAACTTGCAAGCTATACTAAATTGAAATGGACAAACGCTAAAAAGCAAATAACTTGTTTGGATCGTCCCGTTGATTTTGAAAAAATCGAACAAAACAAAAACTTAAAATTATGAGTGCATTCGCTTAACATCTTTCTTGCTAAGAAATTTAAATAGTATAAAATAATTTTCCATGATTGTCGCTAACCCAAAACGGTGTTAATCGACTGCTCGAATTATGAGAACTGTTCAAGTTTATTAATAGGAATAAATTTATTAGCAAAATACATTACGAATGCTTCCAATCCAGCACATAGTTTGAGCGATTTCAAACAATTTGGCCAAATGAAATTTTTCTATTTTCTTAATGAATTTTGCATCAATTTTAAATGGTTTTTATTCGATTATTTGTCTTCAATCGGTTTGACTTAGTTAAAATAAAGTTCAGATTTCATATGAGCCCATGTGTTTTATAACATACTCAGACTATTGTCTTTGAAATTCACAAACATCACATATATTTCCCAAACTACTTGAGTTAAGTGTTTACATATTCTAATTAAGCACAATGAAATTAATGGGGCATGTTCATACTCATATTAACCTAGAGAATCCAGTGTGAGTGAAAACATGTGGTCAAAAGACGCAAACAGGTCAATTTTCAAGTAACATATTTGTTTCCGACAGCATAGACTTGTAAAATATTAGTAAAAATTCGCAAATTGTACGCAGTGTACTACTAAGTCACAAATATTGAATTATTTTGGCTCAAAAAGACCTCCGTTGCAAGTAAGAATTCTACCAGTGTCTAATATATGGTTTCGTTTTTTTGCCAATATTTTAGTTTTTATAATAATTAGTAACTATCCCCAAACAATCTGCAATTTTGGCGCATTTTCTATATACAGATGTGATTTGAGTTCGTTTCTGATCTATGGGGTATTAAAAATGCGCTTCTTGCCAAATAGTCGATATTCATTAGACAAATAAAAACAAAATATCACATTTGGTGCAGGCGTGCGGCAATATTTCGGTACTACTTTGATTAGTTGCATTTTAAAAAACTACGCGTTATTTTATCAGGCAAACCAATTTTGCTAATAATTAAAGCCATTTCCTCATCAAACATAACTCGTAACTCATTAGGTAATCAAATGGCAATGGAACTCTTTAATATTAATGGAAAAGTTGTTCACCAAAAGCTCTGAAATATTTAATCAACAAAAAAAACGGGCGACGTTATCTTAATAAATGTTTTTGCGTTTATTGTCTAATTTGCTAAGTCATTCAACCATCCGTCTTCAAAATGCGTAGGCACGTTTTTCGTATCTAGCTTTTTTTAAATTACCTGGAAATAATTGTAAATTCTCAAATTACACTGAACTGCCATCGAATTACCACAACACAGGTGAATTACACTATTTTTTCTAGAAAATGATTCAGCGCACAAAATATCACCATATAAACTCTGCTCGTTCAACATTCAAAAAGTGTACAAAAACATTTTCTAGATCGAATGCGTACTGGAATAATGAGTTCGAAATGTGAATAAATACACGAAAGGACTTTTTCTAAAAAAGTTTTCGCATCGCGTTTGAACATTCAATAAATCTTTATTTACCATCGTTTTTAATATTCAATCAGTCTAATATGCATTTTCCACTGATAAAGTTAGTTGTTAATGACACGCTCCTTATTAATTTCCTTCGAAAAAAAAATCACACTCTCTCAAAGTTGACAAAGTCATCATAGAACGCCTGCACATGTAAAGACGACAAATTCATAAAATCCGCTTCAGTGGCTTAAAAGTTCTGATCAGTATTGAGTTAACTTTCCGCAGCGTCTTTTTGCATTCCTTGTAGGAGAATTCAATATATTACCAGGGATAGAAATCCCATTAGTGCATAAAGTGCACTTTCCTGCTCTCCATCTCCGTTGCATAGCAAATAAGGGTAAAAGTTGCAAAAGTTTTCGTACAGAACAAGGTCGCTGCGATTCGTCTTATCTCGTACCGACAGACCGACTTTTATTCGCTTAAAGTTTTCCCGCCGACTGTCTACTCAGATAAAACTCTTCTTGCAGGCCCGCCCTTACTAAATGACATTAGGGCGGATTTACATTTCAAGATTGTCTCGATAAGAAGATTTAAAGCTGGATACGAGTACTTATTTTACTTTTTACTGTCTTCCTGTCCGCACTCCTTTTCCGCTCCATCTAGATACACTCTGGAATTTATTACCCCATAAATGGTGCTGGCGAAGGGTTGCAAGCAGATTATTTCTCACAATCTATATGTGAAAGCAAGTGTAAACAGATGAAAATATAACTTCGATAGATGGCTGATGATATTGACTATGTGCACTCTTATTAACACACCCATTCCGGTGTGAACGAACTGACTCTAGGGTGCATGAAATTCCCTAGTTTCCAGGACAACTGTCAGGTTAAAATTAAATCGATACCCTTCTAACGACTCTCAGGTATAGCTCGGTAACAACTAGACAAAATAATAAAAAACCAAACAAACTGTCTGACAAAACGATTTAGTCGGAGCGATATCGTTCAACGAACGCTGTCACGGGTAAGTAAATTATTTTTGCAAATTCAGACCAGATCTGAATCGCAATGCCATAGAATTTTTTGTTCCTGGGTATTTAGAAAACTCACTGATTTTCATTCTCAAAGCAAAACATTAAAATGCAAACGACTGAAGAAACAGCAATTGATCTCGATTCAGGAAAAGCAAAGTAAATTGTTGCCAAAGGGGGGCGAAAATCAATGATTTATAAAGAATTCATTTGAACTGCTTTGACCCAACAGTTCTATAAAAGCGATTATGGATATTACTAGACACGAGTTAATTTACTGGTTAATTAATTAATTAATTGCAATAACTTTCTTCCAACTTCAAACTAGAATATCGGTTCCAATCGAAAAAAAGTAGGTAATAGATTTTGATTTTTATTCTTATCACTTTCTCATCCTTGCGAGGTGCTTGATAGAACATTTCTTGACATAATTTGGCTTTACGGACCACATTTGCGATTACTATTCATGTTATGAAAATTTTCGAGCTCCGGATGGTTGATTATAACCATTGGTCCCTTGTGATGATTGATACTTTTTCCACTTTCGGAAATACGTCCGTCTTTTACCAGATTAGACCGCGTTTCCTGAACAACTTCGTCCTCTTTAACCTTTTCCGGAGTCGAAAAACCCGGAAACAAATGCGGAAAACGATAATATCAGTTTATTTTCAGACAAATAATAATTACATTCAGATGTTTCGTCAGCCTGAAATTTATCGAATCATAAGATGTTTCGGAAATTTGTCAATACATATACGTGACACACTCAACATGATTGTAAACCTGATGTCAAGTTTCCGGGTTTAAAAAAATCTGGCATCGAGTAGCAATAACTTCGGTAAAATGTACTTTTGTCACGTTTTCTTCCACAACCTTCCGATAGGGTTCTATAAGAAGCCAAATCCACTCAGGTTTTATAGCATTGAGAACTTTTTATCAAAAGGCCAAAAACGAATTCGAGGAGGCTGATTTCATATTTTTAACAGTCATGAAGAAAGAAAACAGGAACAAGGTACAAGTTGGGTCAATATGTCTTCATATTTCTATTACTGTAAGAGCTATTAAAAAATTAGTCGATTCCTTCTGATAATTTCTTTCTTCGAATAAACTCTATTGCGAAATCCAATCGATTTTTGTTTTTGTTATCCAGTTATACCCCAAAGTAAATGTTTCACCTTTTTAAGTTTTTTTATCAAATATAACTGGCAAGATAAATTTTAAGAACTGCTTAAGATTTTTTGTTTCAATCTTGTTTTTTAATTGTAATTCAAAGTAAATATAAATGTGAAACACGGTAAATTGCGGATGACTTAAATTATTTGATATCAATATCAAATGCAGATAAATTGGTTGAAAAGTAGTCGGTATTTTTTACTTTCGCCCAATGGAACCCACTTTTATTGTATCAGGAATGTAAAAATTTAACCTAAGATTAGCCTTTCTTTATTTCCCAAATTGTTTTTCGGCAAAAATACCAGATGATCTGAAAACAGATTAATGATAACTGTCAAAAACAGTATTTATTTGTCTATTGCGATCTCCAGCCACCTACAAGTAATCCGTAGAATTTCATACGAATCTATATTTTCTCATTTTACTCGAAGACAATGCGTTTAACGAAATAATTTTTGGAGACAGTTGAAGCAAGCTGTATCAAAAAGAGCTTTTAGATAAAATCTCCCCGCTGATCGGGGGATGACGGACAAAAGAATGAAATGGAAAATACAAAAATGCGTTAAAAATTATTGTTAAAGAGATGCAAGTAGACAAACGACTAATGACGATAGTGAGGAAAATTGAGAAAGTAATTTAAAAAATTTGCATAGGATGTGTCAAACAAGACTGTTAAAACTAACAGAAACAAAAACTTTTTGAACAGAGCTGAGATTTTGTGATTGTGATGATGGAAATAACGGGTGGGAATTTATACAGTAATGAGAATTGAACCCAACTCCAACAACTTGTTGCAACAGCAACACTTATGGCTGACATAAATGACGAAGAAACAAATAGAAAAACATACGAACAGAGCTGCCTTTCAACTGGAAGATATCATTATGGCAGTCAGGCGTGAAACTGACACAGACAGGCGATAGTATAAAAGGGTGGCTTAAAATCACGACTTTGCATATAACATATTCAGATTTAAAAAAACCTGGCCAACCTTATGCAACATATACCGAAGTAAAACTTCAAACTTTTTAGACGCTCCATTGATGCAGGGCAAAAAAATATTTATTTTAAACTCTAAAACGTTAAGTCAATTTTATTTAGCATACTTTTGCGTCCGACTTTCTTCAAAGCTGCAAGATACATATTTTTGTATGTTGTTTTAATCGCACCGTTATTCTAGGTAATTCAGTAAAGTGTCGAATCTCAAAATTAATACATATATTGCTCTGAGTTTAACAACATGTAGGGCTAGTTATTAGCGATTTGATAATAGAATACAATCACACCCTCGGGATTAAATGCACCAGCTTATATCCTTGGTTTATATGCATAAACGCAGCAATCACGCAAAATGTTTAGTGGCATGCTTGTTGGAAGAAATAAAACAACTAGCTGGTATACATTTTGTTTGATTATAGAGAAAAAACTATTGTCATTCATGACAGTTAAATTAAATAATACTTATTATATTTACAGCCCTCCATAGGACTGTACTGCGAAACATGTTAAATCCATGCAAAGAAAGAGATCCAACAGTTATAGACAATGCATTAATCGCCAAATGCATTGAACTACAATATCCAAAAGGAGAGGTAAAGGTTGAAGCTTTGGCAGCAAATGTTATAAACTATCAAAGGATAATTTCCCCCTGTGACCCACGCTAAAAGATTTTTTAATCGCATTAAGTACTCATCAAACGAATGGAAAAATAGGCCGGATATCAATATTTAAACAACCTTGTTTGTATGTAATTTCTTGGTTTCGAAAACAACATTATCATAGCTAATGTTATTTTAATTCGGTGCGATCTTTATCCGTCTCTACCGCAATTAAAACTCATTTTAAGCTAAAATTCCTAAGCCCAAGACAGGTGAAACACCTCCACCTGAAAATATCCAGAAAAAATCCTAGGCTTGAGTTGCCGTAGGCGTACACAGTTACACCGGTGTTTATTTTTCGAGATGAATCAACTTCCCCGAAATAAAAATGTTTATGCCACATAAAATACCTTGGTGGTTAACTGAGGCGGAGCTAAAATCGTTCTCAATTCATTCAAAGTAATTAAATTGTGCAAGATTTTGCATTCCAGGTGGGACGGTTACTTCGGTTAGAGGGAATCCCATTAGAAGAAGTTGAAGAAATCCGATTCGAATATCTTTATATTTTAAAAATCGACCACCTCTGGGTACTGCAATCCTTGGTTAAACTCAGCCTAAACAATAATTTCATTGAGAAAATAGAAAATCTAGAAACACTCATACATTTACGGTAAATTACAAGTCTAAAGTTCCGCATTGATTTTTGTTGGAATTTTTTATCAATATTTCAGAGAACTAGACCTGTCGTTCAATAAAATTCGCAAAATTGAAAATTTGGAAACGTTGATCAATCTGGAAAAGGTAACATTTTACGAAAATCTAATTGAAACAATTGAAAACTTGGACAATCAGACCAAGTTAACTGTTATCAGCATTGGTAAGAACGCCTACGAACCGAGATTATGTTATAAACCTTATAAAGTACGTTTCCTTTAAAAGGCAAAAATAAGATTTACGATCGAACATGCGTAAATTACTTTCGAAGATTTACAGCTCTAACTTCTCTAAACATGGCAGGCAATCCATGTGCAGAAGAACAGGATTATCGGCTTTATGTTGCTGCTTTCTTGCCCACTTTGGTTTACTATGAATACAAAAGGTATATAGAAGACAATCTTCAGAGTATAGACATTACTAGGTAGCACAAGATCATAATTTCATTCTATAGAATTGATGAAGACGAGAGAAAACAGGGTATAGATCGATTCGAAGAAACATTAGGAAAATTGGAAAGGGAGGAAAATGAAGCACAAGAAAAACGAAATGCTATCGAGAAAGAACTAAGCGACGCCGAAATGCATTCGAAAATGTTCGTGGAATATTTGAATACCGGAAAATTATTTGAAATGATGTATGAGAAGGATGAGGAAGGTAAAACGTAAAACCCACAAGGTGTACATTAGTTACAAAACTAATTACATATGGTTGATTTATAATATTGAGTTCACTTGTACTAATTGACTAATTCAAGGTACGGCTTTACTGGATATCGGAGACGAAGTTTCGGAACTTTACGAAGAGTACAAGACACAGTTTATCGATCTATGTAGACAAGTTTTTGAGGTGGGTCAAAAGCATTACACAATAAGGCAGGCCGAAGTCGAACATTTTGGGAAAGGCATCGAGAAAGCTAAGCAAGACAATCAGTATGAAAGTATTGGATATATGGAATCATTCTTGGGTAAGTTAGCATTGAAGCTTGAAAATATTTTAATAAAAATTTCTTTTAAAATTACTTGAAAATACCGAACTAAAAATAATAAGCAGCTTCTTATGCTGATACTTAGTAAAAAAATTAATTCACTTCTTGTTAAGTTTATTTCACTTATGGAGTACTCGAAGCATAGCTATGATTAAACTTTGATATGAATAATCATCAAGATAATTCAAACGTAACGTAAGCCGCATCTAATTTTAGAGGTATGTAAATCTTTGTCATCACATTAACGAAATTTCTAGAAACACAAGTGAATGTAATACTGAGAATAAAATGATAATAAAGCGACAGCCGTAAACATTTCAGGAAGTTAAAAGGTTCATTTCCAAATTTAATCAGCTAATGTTTCGTAATAGTCTATAATGAATCCAACAATAGCATGCAAAGGCTAAATTGGACATAAATTTGGCTTTAATTTTCTATATATAATAATCTAAAAAAATGTTTATTAATTCTGCATTTCCAAAGCAGCCAATGTTTGTTTTTGTCTTGTTTATGATTTCAACTCCTTTATCAACGTGGTATATAACCACAAGGATAATTCGTCTCCTCCGTAACACCTCAATTTTACTTTAGATGATTCTAACTTACAACAAATGATTGTATAGGGATTAAGATAACAGTTTCATTTTAAAATGCTTTACTGGGAATCCGTTACTAGTGAATTGACAATGTGAATGATTAAATTAAAATACCTCTAAAAATAAACCAGGGACATTAACAGAAAGGAAACGCATTGCTTGTCTATAGAAAGTAGACTAGCACTAAATAAATCTAAAAATCAAAAATCAATATTACTTGCAAAAGCAAAAACTAAGCCTGCAAAGGTATATACAGGGTGTCCCGGATTATGTGGGCATGCTCTCGGATTTGTACAGGGGACGTTAAAATAATATAACAAATTTCTATAAAAAAAATTTTTAGAGGGCCCCCACAGAGATGCAGGCATCTAAAGGAGCCACCTGAGAATCGATTTTTTTTCCATACAATGAACAGTACATCATTGCTCTTAAAAAGGACCCATAAAACATTTTTAGCATTTCGGTTTGCCAGGGATGGACTAGGAGGAGCACAATAATAGTATTTTTTTTTACTTTTTACAATGAAGACACGGAAATAATGTATTTAGGTAGTTTTAACCTTAAAATAAAAAAAGACACTCTTGATTCATATCGATAACCAGAACAGCTTTCGAGGAAAAAATATTTTATAAATCCAGAAGGAATATCCAGAGCTAGGAATCCAGGAATGGCATGTAAAATAAAAACGAACGACATCTGTTTGAACCAAATTTGTTTCAGAAAGCAAAGAAACTTATTTTTCATCTATCAAAGACCTGAAGCTGCAATTGGAACACGACGCAATTACTGAAGATGTTTTCAAAGGCAAAATTGAAGAAATTTGCATTACGTTTGACGAGTTGATTCATTCGACTTGGAAAAACCTAATGAGGTGCGCATAAAACTAATCATTGGAAAAGTTAGAACAGAAAAATTCCAATTAATAGATGATTTCTACCAGACCTAACAAAATTAGAATAATGAATAGAACATATTTGAAAATCATTCTACAATTGAAAGAAACTGACCAAGTACATTCCCTTTATCTATACAAAAAAAATCGACGAATTTAAATAAAATTCGAAAACGAAAATAAAGCCCACAAAGGACGAAACATTTCCAGTTTCCCTTTTTCAGATTGGAAGTTACGTTATTTGAGCAAATCGAAGAGGTCAACCAAACTTTCGAACAAACTCTCGCCGAGATGATAAATACTTTCATAGGTAAGCATAGTCCATTCCAAAGCCAATTCCCCGTACAATTAATTTTAAATTAATATTTCTTAATACCACAGAGGAGGTTCAAGGCGTGTTTACGAATGTACGGGCCGCCGAAGTGACCTTTTCCGAAAATATGAACGATGCTGCAGTTAGGTTCATGACAGCAGCAAATGTTAATCCAGACGAAGACATCCCAGAATCATTGAAGGATATTCTTATTGATCGGTAAATTACAAGTTTTGGGATGTGATAACCATTTTTTTAGTACACGAGATATTAGTTTCATTCAATCACTTTCTATTAGAGAAAACATACAAGTCACATTCACGAAGTAATTGAGATACATCATCAGTAAAGTAAACTAGTATCCTCTTGTCGTAACAGATGCCTGTCGTTATAAATATTGAAATGAGTAATTTATTATTACCAACTGCGAATTTTGAACGCTGTTCAATTGATATTTACTTTAAACTAAAGTTCGTTTATAATCATATTTTATTGTTATGTTACTGTATTAATTAACCGGCAAAATTACCAGGAAAAACTCCAAGTAATCTGATCAATACGAAATAAAACGTAAAACGCAACAGTTGTTTAATAATGCTATTTTTGAACTTCATTAGTAGTTCAATCATTGCTTCGATTACAGGGATACACTTAATAATGCAATGGCAGCCACGCACGATGTCCATATGCAGAACATTGATGCAAGAGAAGATCAACTGGTAAGAATGCAATTAAATAGCCTTAAAAAGATTGAAAAAAATGGCGAGTGATTTAAGTAGTGTCGCGTATTTTTTTAAATTGATAAATAACACTGGAAAATATTGTTGCGGCGCGTTATAATTTAGTTCAAACCGTTTAGTAAAGAGACTAATTAATTTCAACAGTCAAGTTTGCAACTGACGAATTTAATTAAACAGACTATTGCACCGCAATATTGTTCAACCCAAAATATTGATTAAAAAATTAGATTTAAATTGTAAAGTTTATCCAATGAATGCAGGTGCATAAAGCTAAGGGATGGCTGGAAAACTTAAGCGAGAAGCTTACGAAAGACGAAATTAGAAGAAATAGGTACAAGCTGCTCGAAATTAATCATTTCCTGGACATACAACGAGAAGAGCTTGAGGAACTCACCGCTGACCAAACTTCTGTGCCCAATCCTGACAATTACGATTTTTAAGTGTTTTCTCTGTAAATGTAATTAACAAATAAAGGAAACGAATGCATGTTATCAACATGGAACACGGCTAATTCACTATAATTATTTTGATTCTTATTTCGGAATTGTGATATCTGCATTAGTTTGCTGAGTGTTAAATAATTAGCCTGAAAGCGGATAACTAATCAACAAAATTATAGATGCGGAAATGGCGTTTCAGTAGACATTAACTTCAATTACACAATAAATTCGTTAATTGTTTGATGGTTTAGATGTAAATGTTGCATGTTTTAATTCAAATGAGTATTGCATACGTTTCTCAATAGAATTGCACTTGTTTGCCAATCAGTCCATTTCTACTATTTAACTATTCAGATAAACGGATATTCGTTTGGACTCATATCTTTAAAATTTATTTTAATTTAAAAAAATTTGTAAGTCATTATTATAAAATATTTACACAATCTTCCAGTATGTAAATTATCAGTATCAGAAAAATACGTAGTGAACAACGTCAAACTTTATAATTAATTCTGGTTAAATAATGTTAACTTGCTGGCATCCGGACCGACCTTTCATCTTGAGGATTTATATTTATTAACAAAAGCAAATGGGTAATTTTATGATCAAGACGTTAAACAAATGCTTAAAATATTCTTCAAATACTCGTTTCTAAGAAGCATCACAATATTTTCGTGAAATTTTACACAAGGTGCTAAAGTCAATATTAAAAATATGGAGAAAGTACGTGTGAGAAGTGTTTTTCAGGTGAAATATTTTCATTCTTAACTTACACCTTTAAAAATATAAATGGTCGTTTTATTTCAGCAAAATAATTTCGTAGTGTAGCGTAGGATGTCTAAAAAGGGCCTTGATAAAAAACGAATGAAATGAAAGACAATAATAAAAATCAGGAATTTAATAATTCATAAAACCTCGAAACGTAAAACACACAGATTTGTAGCAGGATCTTTTTAGGGAATTTAAAAGTTCATAATAAAAATTTTCATAATATTGACTTCATATAAAAAATGCTGGACGTTAAACAATTCCATATCCAAATTTACAAAACAGCTTCATGAAATTGACCAATCCATGCGATTTAAATGGATTGTTGACCAAATCTGTTTGAGTTTGTGTGCAAGGCTGTCAACAATACAAGCGGCAAGAATAGTCTTCTTTTATTTTAGATATTGCATCTAAATTAAACACTCAACTCAAGTTTAGTCAACACTTAGATTGTTCATTTAAATAGCGTGGACCTTAAATGGAAAGACTTGCTTTGTGAAGTGCGAAATATTTAAAATATTTCTTGCACTATTCGATTGAACTGTATTGCTATTAGATAATAGAGTTACATTTTGTTGCACGGTTACAAACCGTAATTCAAAAGCATCTACAAAGTGATTATTGGAAATCAATTGAACGATTTGTACTGACTCAACACATTGATCTCATCAGCATTTTTATTTGACGTGTTCAATATGTCCTTTTATGTGACGAAATACTAGCGATTGACGTAAGTTCCTCAATCATTATTGGCGTTTTTATGAATAAATAGTGTATCGTTGTATTGGATTGAAAAATTGCTTTCTATAACGTCTGATTACATTAGTGCGCTTTAAAGCGTCGATTTCACAGTCAATAATCGAAACCGGCGGCATTCATTTATTAACTTATTTTTGTTCATCATTCACTGTCCAATTTTCCGATTTTTTTGCCATTGGTCAAAATACACAAACAGATTACAATGTTTTATATGCATATGAAGCATTTATTTTAGTTAAACCTACTGTACTTCTTTCCATCCAATTCACACATATACAAATACTTTCTTTTAGTGGCCTACACGATCATTATAAAGCTTTGCTGTATGGTTACTGTCAATCTTTATTAATTATTAACACCTTGTTTTAATGAAATAAAATGGCCAAAAAGGTATGTTCATTAAAAATTATGGAAGGCCTCTAAGGAAAAAATTGAAATCAACAACAGATATTTTATAAAATTTCGCATCGAGATTTGCGCCCCTAAAGTGTAGGATTTTAGAAGGAATTTGATCGGGATTCTTTGCTTTAGATTTATTAATTTCACAATATTTGATTTCACGAATCGCACCTTAATGTGTATACTTATTTATAGTCTCGAAGTTGCTTAATAAAAAATGAATTAATTCGATAGGCATCAGCGAGAAAACTGCTGAGATTCTGAAGCTATGCGGCATCCAGAAACATTATCGAAAAATATAATCCGAATCCTTTCATCAAAATAAAATCTAATGTAACAAAACGTTCATTCAAAAGAACATGTTTATTTTGAGTGTATTTGCTTTACTATCTTATACAGGGGCTTCAAAATAGACACGCCAACTCTCGAATTATGAGTGAAAAGTCTCTACAGATATAAACCCGCAAGATTTTCGGTAATCGAGCTTCGGTCTCCTAAAGTTTCCATTTTCAGCAAATTCTACAATTAAATTCAACTTGTTTTTTCTTTTGAAACTTAGATAACCTGTAGCTCGGTGAAGACGCGTTTGCATCCTACATTTATAAGAACTTTTCACTCTATTTTAAGTTGGTCAGTTAGTAAAATGATGTATTCAATGTAGACCGTTGGAAGAAAATTTCCTTGCAAAACTATCGTTCAAACAAATTGTTGACATTTCTAAAGTATTTTACTTCTAGTTTGGATACGTTTAAAAGCTGTTTCCAATTGAACGAGTTGCACTTAGTCAGCACATTGACCTGATCAGCAAATTTATTTGATGTGTTCTATATATTCTTTTATATGGCGAAATACTAGCTATTGACGTAAGTTCCTTAATCATTGTCGGCGTTTTTATGAATAAAGAATGATTATATTGGCTTGGAAAATCGCTTTCTGTAAATTTCGATTACACTGCTGTGCCGTATACCATCTGTTTTCCAGAAAAATAATCCGAAACCTACGTTAATCATGCACTAATTGGTTTTCGTTTATTACCCCACTTACAAAACCGCGTCGCATAATTGAAATTGCGCTGCAAGCTTTCATCCAACATCAGCAACGTTTTTGCAAAGCATTCCCTCAACCTCATCCATGCTTTTTGGCAAATAGCCTCAATAAGGGCAAATATCGCTGTCCCAAAGCAGCACCAATTTATTTCGGTTATGTTGCTGCTACCCTTCATGTTTCGACTGGCGCTCTTTTGGACCAATTTTTCTTTATCACTTATATTGGTCTATTTACTCGACAATTTGTTTTTGTTTGTGTTAGCTTCAGTTAATCCTTTAACAAATGGCTTTGGATAGAAGCATTATCTCGCCCTGGTGGCTTAGCAAGTTAGTTACATAAATCTACATAAATTGAGTTTATCCTGACCAAAAACTAACCCTGATTGGAACGTTTCAATTCCTATAAATGTAAATTGCTTTATAATCATGAACATTTCGAGGCAATCTAGTTGCACGCAACGAAGTCGATCAGTGAATCTCTCATTTCCCTCAAAGCTCCAAAATATCCAACTATGATGTTGTGGTTTGTGGTGTTTGCTGATAAACAAGGATACTTTTATTATTTAAAACGTTAACTCGCCAATTTGCTCCTTAAAACATTTCAATTGTAAGTGTTTCTTATTTATTTATGAGTGTATTAGTAGAGAAAACATATAAAATTTTTATTTGGTTTATTTGCATAAGCAAAACAATGATAAATGGAGGACAATAGTTCAACAAAATTTACTAATTTAGAGACGCATGTAAAGAGTGGTTTGTTTATTTACTCTCCAAGTGTATTTTCGATTATGTTAATTAATTCGATGATACATTATCTAATCTAAATGAGGCCTAGATAAGAGCAATTCAATGATAATTCCAGATATCTCTAATGGCAATCTGTCTCAAATTGTTTTTTTCTCCAATTCCAAAATATTCTCCTAATGATTATCAGGATATTCATTAAATGCAGATTAATGTAAAACGTAATAAGCATCCTTTCATTAATTTTACTTACATTACCACGTATTTCTAGTTCAGGGTTATTTAAAAAAAATACAAGGTTGGTTTAAACACTGCGTGAATATATTTAAACTATATTAAAAAAATATAATAAAGAATTGAGTTCAAAGTGTTTATCGGCGTAATTAACGCGTATCAATAAAATTGAATGTGCTGCGATTTTATTGATCCAGATGTAATATACGACTCAACTGGTTCCACTAGAATAGTACTACGTAGATAGTTCAACTCATCGAGTAATAGCTAAATAGTAAACGTAAACTTTCGCTTACCTGTTCATAAAATACAATTTGTTGTGAGGGTGGATCCATACTCTCGCAGAATTCCTTAAATAATAGGTAACCTGCAAATAAAGGCAGATTTTAATTATCACGCTTCAAAACAGTTTATTTTCCATGCTAATAGACTCAACGATACATAAAAATATAAAAGTACCAACATTTTATGCTTTAAAATTTTAAACTTTAAATGCTCGAGATAAACTCGACATAATTGTTTAATTTTTCAATGAAAAAAAAATGGAAACAAAATTATCTGCACGTCTTTGTTATCGATCCAATATTTATGATACAATTCGTAATACTTAATTATTGCATATTGTTTTGTATTAACTCTGTTGAGCTGTGCACTATGTTTCCGCAAACGGTAAAAATACAGGCAAAAGTTAAAACAACGCGGCATAAATATACAGGATGATTCAGAACCTTATGGACACAGATCAGGAGCGTGTTCAACTTAAAAAAAAAATATTGGCATTTTTTCTTTAACTCCTACAGTTTGCGATATATCTTGCACAAATTTTGAACGTAGGCTACTGTTTAAACCCTTTACCCGTAGGTAAGTCAACTGGTTGAGAAAAGCTACCTTCGTTTTCAAGTTATTTGCACAAACATAAGTCTGTAATCTAATGTCATTTTTTACAATTGTACATTTATTACTGATTCTGTAGTTTCAACGGGTTGAAATATAAATTATTTTTAAGTCCCCACAGAAAAAAATCACACTTATTCAAATCTGGCAATCGCGGTGGCCAGCGTTGCGGGTAATTATTTCCGCGACCTATCCATCGATTTCAAAACTGTAAGTTCAAAAATTCACGAACGAAGCTCTGGAAGAGTGTTTTGTAGGAAAAGCAAATAACTTTCACCGTTCAAACGATTAGATAAAATAACTGGCCCAACGATTCCGGCCCACACATTAATTTTAAATTATCTTTGGTAATGATGGGTTATTGTAATATGTGGATTTTGATCGGAATATTCCTGGCTATTGTGTATAGTTGAGATTGCCCTCGCTTCAAACAGGCTTCATCAGTGAAAATATATTCGATACTTCTGTGAAATCAAACGTTCTTATTTAATGGTAACTACTTGTTTTCAGTCACACGCCGCTGCTCTGTGTCCATAAGGTTGTGAATCACCCAGTATATACATACTTAGTTTATACAATGTTAATGCTTAAAAATCTGACATATACACAACACTACATAGCTATTGCAATTCAAAATTTAACCATTAATGCAAATATGTAGGTATAGTATATAAAATAAGACATAAAAACATGACCATAAAGTTGCGGTTCTAATGCAAGGACGCAGTTTCCAATATTCTATATTGGAATAAAGTTGGTGTATTTGTGATAAATGTTTCGTCTGTGAAAGATTTTTCTGGAAAAAGAACTATTTGCGTATTTACCTACGATGTAGCCCATACAAATCTGATTTTCCGTTAATGCCTTACATTATCGGATTTATACATTTGATCGGCCATACTAAATAGAATAAAGTTTATTTAAATGTTTTTCCTTACGTGCCTTTCAATATGTTTGAAAATTAAATTGATAAAGGTGTTGAAAATGTACATTCGTAAAAACTAAAAAGTATAATAAAATTAAAAAATATAAATTGGTTAATTATCAAACAGGTTTCAAAATGAGTGCAAAGTTCGGTGAATACTTCTAAATTAAAAACTCAGGTAACATAGTTGGTCGGTCGAATTGGCAAAACTATAGCTAATAGAACAACTAATAAAGTCGATACTTGTCGGAAAAACTATTTAATTTTTATACTAATCAAAATGGGGAAATTGTGTGTCATGCCATAAATTCGTAAGTAAGCAAATTAAACTAAACATACTGGGTGGCTAAACGTAAACGAACAAGCCACCAAAGCCCTTAAAGAATAAAATAAAAATGCTGGGACACGTCTTTTTCCTTCTCAGAAGGACACATTTTCAGAATGTAAATCAACCCTTGTCGGTAATCCTTTAGCCTACTCTCAAAATCTTAAGTGGAATAGCAGGTCGAATTACACCTTGTCTGATAAATGATTCTCAAGCAAAAACAACTCAGTTGCTAAAAGATTCCTATTAGCGTAACACATATTTTATTAGTGGCGATATATAATATTTACAATAACTCCATATTCCATATTGCTGGCATTCAATAAAATACAAAGTAACGGAAATAATCATTAAATTGATGTAACACATCATACATATACAGGGTGTCCCGTAAGCACTTGATCAAAAGGGTACTGTGATATTCTTTGGATCAAGAGAAGACGATCTGACCTAACTGTTATTGACAAAAAATGTCTGGCTCCCCAGCTGTTGATGGTCAAAGTTCTTTACAAACTTATCTTTTTTGAAATATCGGGAGAATGGTACCATGTATTTTGGTGAAATTCGATGTGAATTTGTTCCTATGTAAGACTCTACGCTGGGTGTGAGTAACAGAGCATTTCCTGAACCTCACCGAAAAAAAAACTAATATTTTGATAAACAATCGATTTCAGCCGTTTTGGAAAAGTGGTGAATTCTTCAGTGTCGCAGTACAAAAACTACCAGAAGTTTTTATTTGGTGGATAGAATCTACTCATTTTTTTGGTTGATGCACTAATCACTTATTCACAATTTTGTGACTTTTGTAAAATCTTGTAGCATTCACAGTTTTTGCACAAAAAAACATGTATGTTTTCTTGCCACTTAACAATGTTAGACATTAACTACAAATAAGCGCGGAGTAAACTCTTACGCTTTCAGGCAAGTTGTCCTCGCAAAACCCTAATATTTTGATCATGTCGGTCACTTCTTCAATCAGAAAGGGTCATTCGAAACGAACTTGTGAGATTGATTGACCATTAATTTATGCCTCGTATCACGATATTTGCAGTTAATGTCCTGTTGTTAAGTGGCAGAGAAAACAGCAATTTTTGTTTCGCAAAAACTATGAATGCTACAATGTTTTACAAAGAGCACAAAATTGTGAATAAATGATTAGTGCATGAAACAAAAACAAAATTAATTAATTTTATCCACCAAATAAAAAGTTCTGGTAGTTTTTGTGTCAAAATATGAGTCTTACATAAGAATAAATTCACAGCGAGTTTCACTAAAATATATCGTACCATTCTCCGGATATTTCAAAAAAGAAATATTTTTGAGGAACTTCGACCATCAATAGCAGAGGAACCAGCCATTTTTTGTTAACAAAAGTTAGGTCAGATCGTCTTCTGTTGATGCAAAGAATATCGCAGAATACTTTTGATCATGTGCTTACGGCACACCCTGTATATCAATCAAAGAATAGATTAGCAATTAGCATATCAAATAAACTTTTGCACCATCACTATGACTGTATTTTAATAGGCAGCTCACATATATTTCATAAATTACATGAAACACGATATGCTTAATTTAGTAGATATTATTTTAAAATATTTGAAACCTGTGACAACAATCTCTTCGCTTGAAATCATTTAATTGGACGTCATTTGCCTGTATTTGATCAAAACGAATCGCATCGTTTCATTTGATATACGTCTGGCAACGGCTGTGAATTCAAAGTGGAAAAACATTTTTGACTACTTTCAGCATGGTTTTTATTCCAAAAATTTACAAAAGTATTATTACTTGAGTAAAAAACTGACGGGGAAAACACTGCCCAAAGATGACAATTTTTGTTCTTAATTATTCTTTCTTGACCCCACGGTTTTCTACGCAAGCACGCATGATACACAGAATAATACCAGAAATACAGAGACATTGTCCACTATATTAAAGCAAATTTAATATACCTATTTGTTTAAAGTATCAGCAGTTCCCTTATTAAGCAGTTGTCATATATTTTAAGTAATGATTCAGGCAAAAAGCAGTTTATTAATAAATTGTTTAGGCAACTATGTCGCATATGTTAAACGTCTTATTTTTTAAACGGACGTTTAACTGTTATTCAAAAATGAAATTATGATAATAATATTAACTTTGACCCGATGAGAGAGAGCCTGAAAAGATTCTTGGCACTTAGTATATATAGTATAGACAAGTAGAAATAATTCTATTTGTTATCCACACTTTACTTCAAACTTATTTTTTGATCTTTTGCAACGTACTAGACTAATTTATTTTTAGACCGTGGCTTAGGAGGGATTCCATTTTCGTTTTAGACTTAGTTGAAAGCCTTGAGCCATTTAACGTATGGAAGCGAACTGGATCTCGACAGTTTAATAGACAGAGTCATAGTCTCCAAGAAAAATAATGAAAAAACCGGCAGTCTATTATTAGACAGTATTTCAGTAATACTGGGGTAACAATTTGTGGAAACTAAAAGCCAACTTGTGCACTCAATTTATCGAATTAATGAAAACCAAATATCACTTGAACAGAAACTCCATTAGGCCTCTCGCAACAAGATATATCAATATATTTGTTCACGGGATCGAAAAATCATGTATAATTTACCGAAATTAACGATTTTTGACTCCAGAATCTATCTCCTATTTTAAAATCAATTCCGCCTTTACAAAAGGTGTTAATTTCATTTCGGATTTCACTATCTACAATATTTATTGAAATTTGAACAATTGCCATTAAACTTTACACTCGATGACGTTAATCAGGTATATAAAGCTCAGTTAGTTTTGCTTATAACATTCCAATTTTGAAAAATACACTGAATAATGTAAATTCAGATAATCGAGCAGTCACATTTCATTAATCCCCCCATGGTAATAGAAGTCATAGATTCCCACAAAGCTAAAGACATGACAAAACCCTAGTAATAAAGACCCTCAGAGTGAATATCCATGTTCATGTATCTGTCGCTTTGTTCTGAAATGTTCACTTTTGTTCCATGTTAGTAGTATGTAGCGAAGGGCTATAAAGCCGTATAAATGCGAGAAGTTACTACTGAACATAGAAGTAGAATTAGACGGGCGTGACCTAGATTAAAAGTAATGTCTCGCTCCAGACGGCTCTGTATCTAATGAACTCATTGTACAAACTAATTGAATACAGACCGGCAAAAAAATTATGTGTGTTTTCATAGAACATGTCAATGAAGGCA